ATTTTTATGTGAAAATAATGAATAATAATTTATAAACCAAAATCAATCACAATTTGTGATGGTAGATGGCGCTATACCCGCTTTGATGTTTCTTAGCATAAATCATTATATCATAATAATAATATAAATCATAATATGTTCATAGCAGGAATTTTGCATTACAGATATTGTCAAATGACCTCAGCATCGTCTCCATCATCAACATCACCCTCAGCATCGTCTCCATCATCAACATCGCCCTCAGCATCGTCTCCATCATCAACATCGCCCTCAGCATCGTCTCCATCATCAGCATCACCCTCAGCACTATCCCTTTCATCGGCATATCCATTAGTATTGTCTCGGTCATCAGAGTCTACTTGAGTGCTGCCTCAATCATCAACTTCTCACCCTACAGACTCCAGATCTCGTCCCACCCTCTCTAATGTAACTATAGGAATATATTCATTCCGTTATTTGTTAAGTAAAATGTTTCTAAAATATATCATGTAAATATGTTCATTTAGTATGAAGTAAAGGTATTGGTATGCTGAACGTGACAAGCTTGCCATCTCGCATTTTTTACTTCATCGTCACATCTCTATTAATTCGCTTCAGGTAATTAATGAAGATTTTATTAATTGCAGGTTTTGATGTGTGTGTTTAATGGCTTTTGATTATAGAAGGAACAGGTTATTTTTAGTGCACGTTCAAGTATTTATTAGCCTCACTATTTTATAATGTCAATGTAAAAAAGTATATATGTTGGTGAAGCGCATGTGAACATGCTATTGCCCCCAAGTTTTTCCCAATACCGCGTTAGTTTTTTGGCGCTCATTGGGCAATAGCCGTCATAACTCGACGATTTCGACACTATAATTTAGACACTTAGAAGATTTGTGCGTGTGTTTGTACGAGCGTGCGTGTGTGAGCGGGCGTGTGTGTGTGCGTGCGTGTCTGAGTGCGCGTGTGTGTGCTTGCGGGCTTTGAGCGCACGTGCCTGCGCTTGTGCGTACGTGTGCGTGTATATGCATACAGTCATAGTGAAAAGCATATAAAGAAGCCTTCTTTATACGCTCTTGATATAGGATATATGCATGCGTGTATATGCGTGTGCGTTATATATATGCACCACAGGCACGTGTAAATGTACGCTCGGCAAACACAATGTATAGGAGGTATATGTGTATTGATTTCATGGCTAATGGAACACAGCAAGTTGTGGCCGCGTGAGGATTTTTCTCCAGTTTCTTCGTGCAGAATCTTGTTTACTCGATTGTTATTAGAGGTATTGAATACAACATGTATATATTCTCTCCCAGCTTTTATGTTTTCGAGTGTCAGCTTTGATTTTCACTGGCTAGCGATGGCTCTTTAGCCTTTCTGGATTGTTACAACTATCAGTCGCATCGTTATGCCACTGAAGCGGCAGATAAAGTTTCTAGTATGTGTTGGATTTGCAACCGAATGTTACCGAGTAAACGTTTTCACTATTTTAATAACACTTAAAACCAGAGGCAATAGGTGGGAATTTAATGACAAATATGCCGTGACAGGTTTTTAGCTCACCTTGACATCGCCAAGCTGAGCTATTGCCATAGGTCGTCGTCCGTCGTACGTCCGTCCGTCCGTCAACATTTGGCTACGGTCAACGATAACTCAGGAACCGTTTGACCCACATGTTTGAAATTGGGTATAGTTGTTACTGCTATTCTCCCATATTAAACGTCCTATTTTGGAGCACGCCAGTCGACGTACTTTCGAGCTACGGCAATTTTTTGCCAAAAATGGGAATTGCCATTAGTCAATTCAAGTTCAACGGATTTTGCTCATTTTTGGTATGGGAATGAATAAGGGCTAGGGGTTTTGATATTTAAAAAAAAAATTTGCAAATTAGGTAGGGTTTGGCAATTATATAGCATATTATATAGACACGCAGATAACAAACAGTCTGTGGTGTCACACTCGTCTGGTTTGTTTTACAAGATTTCATTGACAATATCTTTAATCCAAAATTCTTGCTATGGACATATTATGATTAATACTATTATTATTAGAAAACGATGCTAAAGACGTCATGCTAAAGACGATGCTGCAATGGAAGAATCGAACAGTCAACAATGGTGAACTTTGGCAAACATTGTATGCGTATTTACTAGTCAGTACCACAAAATGCGTCTGACTGTGGTACGACTATTATTTTATCTCTTCCAATGTTGCCGATGAATAATTGTCAACTGCTCATCGTTTTATTGTATCATTCACTTATTATTTATATATTTATATTTATTATTATTTTACTTATTATTTATATTATACTTTTTTATTAACTTCTCGATAAACAAGAATACCCTTCAGGGAAAGACGGCTAAGAATGACTTTCATTTCTGAAAATATATCGTATATAACGTAGAACATCCTTTCATTTGGAACGAAGTGAATCGATATTTTTAAACGTATAAATTTACACATTCTTGCGACCGCATTTTTCGAGTTTATGACGGCTGAAAGGTTGTCGAAATTGGAATAGCACCTCATTTTTTAGAAGGGGACAATTTTTCCAATTTCATAATATATATATATATAAACTTTACCTGTTGCCCACATCCGCCAAGTCTAAAATACTTACTCAGTAGCTCGAGCATTTTCGTGGGACGACCATGCAAAGCGAATAAGAGCAAAAACGCAAATGACTACAATATCTGATGATCAACGACGAATTTTGTGTGAATATATAATCATTTCAGCGTGAATCGGTAGCGAGCAGCTGCAGATTCTCTCAATGTTGCAACAACACCTGCCCGCATTACACACAAATGCTTACCTGCAATGACGCTCATCTGATTACAATCTCAGAAAAGGCTATTCTTTATAAAAAAAGGCAAGTTTTACGCCTGTCTGACCTAAATGGCCAGTGATTATAACGATAACAGGAAAGAAAAATTATGTAATTATATTTTAGCCATCGCGCACCTGTGAGCATCTTTTACAGGAGAATAGCATGCAGGTACATTAGTCTCACATCGAAAGACATGAATGCATGTAACGATATTACATTTTTAAAACCAAATACACGCTTAATAATATCATTTCAACACCGCAGTCTGCAGTGTAAACAGCACGAACACATTTGCCGAACAAATGGTGATGAGTAATTGCATTCTGACTACATATATACATACGACATCGTTGCCACAGGGAATGACTATAGAAGAGGACATCGATAAAACTAGACTAGTAAGACTACCCATCCCGATACACTAATTATATATACACAGTGTTATCTGACGTCAGCACAGTTCGCTATGTAGGTGGCATGTGTTCGCGCAAGTCGACGTGTATGCATGGCAAGCCATTTGTATCATAATTCGAGAAACCACGGTTCCTCGCACGAAACCAGGTTTCGT